TCTTGGTGATTTGAATTTTGTTTCATCTACCCCAAGGGTTTTGGCAATTTCACCTGCCTTCATCTGCATTGCCCGACATGTCAGAGGTAATCCCTTGGCACATGTCTCACTGAAAAAATACAGTACAACTTCATCTCCATGGGGGTATCTTCCTTTCTTAGGTCTTGCAAAGCACTTTGGTGTTGCTTTGCAAGAAAACATGGAATTATGGTCATTCCTCCAACACTGAATGTTTGCCTCACTAATAGCAAACATTTGCTAGCTGCTTGGTTCCTGTAGTGGTCTGCGTATATGTCAACTTTTCAATGCTGAATCATAATGCAATCTTTCTGAAGACACTTTTAAAATTCCAATTAAACTTGACACATTTGATACCAGCAACATGATACTCAGTTCAAGTGATGACCAGCTGTGACACAGTTCACACATGCACAGGGGAAGACAAGTGCATCATGACTATTGTTGGGTGGACATCAATTGCACGATGCATCTCAGTTTCAGGCAAGTTAAAATATGGAGGAAAAACAGACATTTTAGAATGAATCCAAACCGTAATGTTTATCAGAGTTGCACCAGTATAATAAAATAAGCCCAGAAGTCAAGGAGACATAGAGAAGTGAAAAGCCAGTAAAGCTAAAGATTATTTTAAGTGTAAATGGTCCAATTTGGTTTTAGTGCCCCCCCCTTTTTTTTTGGTATGGCTTAAATATAAGGGTTGGTTTGTGTTTTTTTTTTTCCAATTGGACATAAAATCCAATGATATTTTTCAGCCTTCCTGTAAATTTAAAAACCAAGTCACTAAAAGCAGACACTCCCAGTTACTGTCAATTATCCACAAACCACCACCCAGCATGCAGTCAGGTGCCTGCCACCGGGGAGTAGATCTGATCCTGTGTGGAGAGGAAGGGTCGTCCTAAGCTTCTGATCCTGAAGGCTCATGATCTCCCTTTCTGGGAGCCTGTGACTCCCACCAGTTACCGCAGAAACATGAATTTAGATTAAAAAAAGATGCCACACAAAATATCAACCGCCAACCATACGATAAAATAAATGAATGGGATCTTCTAAGAATCAAATCCCTATGCACAACCAAAAACTTCTCCAACAGGGTAAAAAGGGAAGCCACTGACTGGGAAAAAGTATTTGGTAATGACATATCAGATAAAGGACTTATATCCAGAATTTATAGAATACTTGAGCACCACAACAAGATAAAGGTAAATAATCCAATAGAAAAGGGGAACAGGATATGAACAGACACTTCACCGAAGAAGACATTCAGATGGCTAACAAGCACATGAAGAAATGTTCAAAATCCCTAGCTCCAAGAGAGA